CAGAATTCCCCAGCCAGCATGGCTGGCTGGGGAATTCTGGGAGCTGAAGTCTACACATCTTCAAGTGGCCAAGGTTGAGGAACCCTGCTATAGTACATCCTTTTGGTCTTATGCATCTGAAATGAATTCATTGGTATTTCACAGCCATAATAGTAGTAGTATAATTATTATTACTGCCATATTAATTTGGAGAAGTGGTAGCCTGAGGCCATTTATAAGAAGAACACACACCATACAGTGAACTAAAACGGCAGTATGCCTCCTAGTGACCCTTGCCCTCACTGACCATTTTTTGGTTTTTGACCATGCTCAGCCTCTGCCTGATGCCCAATACAATGGGAACCCCGAGTCAGTCGGTTACCGGATCAAGTACTGGTGTGCGGACATGCAGTGTCCTGCCCTGACAAAGGTCATCAGTGACCGACTGGAGATGGAACTCACCGTCGAGGACCTGCAGGAGTGGACGGAGTACGAACTGCAGATCCAGGCCTTCAATGCCATTGGATCAGGACCCTGGAGCGAGGTGGTGCGAGGCCGTACGCGGGAGTCAGGTAAGTGGTGGGAAGGAACATCACTTGTTCCTCTTGCCTCTAAATGCTTTTTAAAACATTTTCTCTGGCTTTGGATTGTTCTGCTGAACTTGAAAAGGTTTGCACCTTGAGGGCATTTTTTCATCAGTTCGATTCATGCAGTCTGGCTTTGTCCAGAGGTCCGATCTGAGCGAGAGCAGTTCTCAGCGAAGCAGGCTCTGAAACGTCTGCTGCCAAGAGTAAAGTGCCATCATAGCAGTAAGGCAAAGTAGCCAGGGTCACTCATGAGCTTTGGCAGAAGGTAGTTATTAAGCTGTTATCTAGATAACTTCTAACAAGGTTTCTTCGTCGACTCCATCCCATATGAATCCAATGTAATTTACCTTTCTACTGTGGGTGAATAATTGAGCGCAGTGACCTTTCTGGAATTAAGTATTCAATAGTGAGAGTAAATCACATCGTCGCTAACCTGCCCAATGAGTAGGGGCTGTATTTGCAATTTGTCTCCATAATCATACAAGGCCTTCCCGTTGCTGCATGGCTAAGGTTGGATCTCATTTATCACTTAAAATGGGACTTGGCTTTTGTTCTCCTTTTGCTTTTCTTTTTGTTATAAAATGCTTGGCATCTTCAGATTTGCATATTTTCATTAATGATGGAGGAAGGGATCAATTAAAGCCAAAGAAAGCCTGGCAGGATGCTTGCTCTTGAACAAAGGTGGCTGAGATTGTATCAGGTAAGGCTGATGTCCCAATTTGCCACTTCGATGCACCGTGCAAAGCCATTCAAGGGTTTTGCAACAACCCTATGGGACTGCTACATAGCAGTATCACCACCAGATTTATGGACTGCTCAGTTTTATAATCCCTGGAATAGTACTTCATGGATCTGATTGAGCAGCATTGAGTTTACTGGGACCGACACCTCCGTTCTAACCATGTTTATTCCAAAATAATTCCCAAAGATTTCAGTGAGGTGTGCAGAAATCGTATAGCTAACAAGCCAAGCCCTACCAGGATGTTACAGCCCTGTTCTTCCTAAGAACTTTAAGATTGGGGAATAGGGGGACAACAAATCTGGCCTCATCCATCAACCAGAGAAGACGTAGCTCTGGTTCTCCCCATCTTGGCCAAAAAAATGGCATTGTTCCAAGCATACTGTGGAGTGGGATTGCAAGGCTGAACAAAAACCCATCCTGGTGCCATCCCTTGAGACAGGAATAAAGGGCTGCTGCGTTGTGTGTTCCCCTGTTAAGATGCTTTCGGTCCATCAGGAAGTTGCATATAAACCTTTAAAGTATTGTATTGTATTTGAATTGATTTTATCTCCTCTGTAAACTGCCCAGAGTCACTTTTGAATGAGATGGGTGGTGACAAATTTGATATATAAATAAATATTTAAAAATAAAAGTACTGACTATTTTGCCTCACCCCACCCACGGTCAGTCCAGCGGCTTTGTTGGGTGTTTGTATTACAAACTAATCCTTAGAATAAGGCAGCTTTCCCCAAGTGTTTCTTCCAGAGACATTAGGATGGCCGCCTTGCTGGCAGGAAATCTGATCGCTTACATTCCTAATGTGTCTGGAGAGAAGTCACATGCTGGGAGAAGTAAAGACTCTTCTTCAAGAGTAAGATTATATTTTCTATAATGCTTAAGTCATGGTCAGCCTGGCTGAAGCTGCCGAAAAGTGCAGTCCAAAACTGTCTGAAGGGCATCAGGTCATTTCTGCCTGATCTGCTTCTTGCAGTTGCTAATCTTAAATCCCTCCTCCTGCTTTAGATTCCAGGGGTTATCACCAAGAATGTGGGCAACCAAGACAAACCTTTCTCCAGAGCGTGCACATACGATGTCAAAAAGGGAGCCATCCCAAAGTGGCTTATATACATAGTCTAAGCAACAGCAGACATTACCTGGTCTTTTGGAGGAGATGAATTTCCCAAAGTTAGCCTTTCTCCAACGTCGAACCTCTTAGATATTGCAGAGACTCTGACTGCTACAATATCGAGCCAGCAGCTTGACCACGTCTGAAAGATGTGGGAATGGAAATGCTGTCCTAAATATTGTCAGTATGATCATTTCTTTGGTAACGGGTTTTCTGTAGCAAATTACTCTTTTTTATTTGTAATGCTGGTCAAAGGATGTTGTCAAAGAGGATGGACATTAGCTCTGTAGCATATTCCCAGGTTTGTTCCTTAGCTTCAGCCTTAGTAGAATATAGGGCTTAGCTGGTTTAGCAGGAGCAAGGGATTTGACAATAAGAAGATGGGGTGTAATTTAGCCATCTGATTCTCTCAGAAGAGATTATCGGCAGCAATCCTACATAGGTTTACTCAGAAGTTAATTCCACTGAACTCAGAAGGACGTACACTGTATAGTAATGAAATGATCCTATCTCTTAGAAATATCTATGAAAGGGTCAGACTTCCTTTGGCGAAAATATGCATGAGTATGCCACAACTGTGAGCTTACAAGAACTCCAAGAAGTAGCTAATGACAGACAGTCCTGGCAAAATTACATCCATTGGGTCTTGAAGAGTCAGAAGCAATTGAACAACTGAAAAACAACAGTGGCTGGATGACTAGTTGCTTTCTTCACACCAAAATCTGGTGCATTGCTTTTTTTCCCCCCTCCCCTGAGAAGCCATTCATAAAGGAGTTTCTCTTTGTTAAGATCTATGGATAAATCCAAGGCAGCCAGCTATGTTCCTTTAACATAATTATATTCTTCTGAGAGATAAATCTAGGAGAACATGAACCAAAAACAGCAACAACAATTCAACCTGGGGCGGAGCGTAGACGGGATGAGAGAGGGAACTAGAATTTTCTTCCGACATTCTGGCTGCTTGTTAATGCAGAAATTGTTGTGGAGGTGATTTGATCATCTGGGGCCTCACAGAGATGCTGGTTGGAGTGTGTGCGCATTTCTTGTGAATACCCTTGTGGGAATATGAGGATACAGGTACGGAGTTAAAAGCGACAGATGGTGAAGTTTTGACAGATCTGAAATGTTGTGCATGGTATTGATGAAGAAGGAACAAGAGATGACATGTACTGTCAGTGATGTCTATCCTCACCCCACATGTCCTATTCTACCCTTGGGTCCAACATCTTCCTCCTCAGTAGCTATTGGCTATTTTTCCTTGTTTGATTGACAGAGAGGAAGAATCTCTATTGGGAGCCTTTCTACAAACATTCCATGACTCTTAAGTATGGAATATAGTTTCTCCTCTACGTATTTGATTGGGGGGAGGGGGGATACTACCACCACCCTACCTAGCACCCCAAATGCCTTCACTGTCTTCAGCATTTCCAGAGGCTCCCTGGCAATCCATGTGTCCTCTATAGAGCCATTTCAAATAAATCAGCTGCGCTTGAACAAAAGCTCATCTGTTGCAGCATCAGCTTCCCACAACAGGTCGACCAGAAGGTTTCAGGGACCCTACTGACAGCATGAAGGTATCTTCCACTACAGCTCTCGTTGTTGCAAAATCATCATAGGTGTTTGTTTAGACAGTTCATATTTCCAGAATTAGAGCGCATAGCCATCCTTTTAGGTGTGGATGAAAACTGGAAACATAATTCTCATACACACACAAACACAATCAAAGCAAGTTTCCCTCTGCCAATTCCTTGTCAAGGTTTGCAGTGACATTCTCCTGGTTTGGGCAAGTTGTCCTTTAATGTCAAGAGGAAAGCGCCCTCCACCCGCACCCTTTCTCTAAAAGCCTTTATGTTTCCCTTCTTCCTCAGACACATACATGGGAGCCTTTTGAGAAATTGTGCTTTCTAGACATCACTATGTACATGTGGAGAGGGGAAGGTTGGAGAAAGGCATAAGCAGCAGACAAAATAAATAAAATCTCTTCCAAGACATTTAAAGCAACCTGAAAATCTAATTGTGTTAACCAAATAGCGTTACACCTCTCTAAAAGGTGCTTAGAGGCATAAGAATGGAGAGGCAATTCAGAGAGAAGATGTAGGATTTCTCCCTGTCATGGGAAGGTTAGTGACAGTAATTTTATTGTGACCTTTAAATTATAGCCTTCACATTGAAAAGAGATGCATTTGTTTCCTTCTCCTTTTTTCAAAAGTTTTTATTTGAAACATTCGACATTCTTAGGCTATGTTTCCATAGCAGATATTGAGGCCTGGACTTAATTGGATGGCTCCTGGCTTTTTAAAAGGATTAGACTAGATGAGGTGGCCTTCATCAAATATCGCTCTAGGACATGAAATCACCTCTGTAGATAATGAAGAGTCTTGGTCTTACTTCTCTTTTGAAAAACATTTCAGCTTGCTTAGCTGGTCACTTAAACAGCCAGGATCTCCCAATCTTGCCTCTTGCTTTTATTTTAACTAAGTTGATCTAAATTTGGAGTCTCTGTGTAGTCTCTGCACCAGTTTGAGCCTGACCTAAAATGTTTATTAGTTTCAGGACGTTTGAAGGCATGATCTTCCATATGAGACTACCAGCCAGCCTACTACAGTGTCCCATTGCCACAAGAGATGTGTTTAGCTGAAATTACAGATAAAGCGTTATCCTTTTCAATGCCATGATTGGGGAGTTTTCTGTCCCCAGAAGTTCCTCGTGGTCCCCACTTTATATAATTCTGGCAAGCTAGTAACAACCCTAGAGATTGATTTGTTGTGGTTGTGTATCTAGCTTCGGGCTTTTTCGTCTTTGTTCAGTCTTTCTTGTAATGCAGAAGTATCTTATTTTAATTGATACTATAAGCCATTTTGGAACCCCCGTGAATGCTCTTTTCGTACATTGATAAAGAGATGGACTTTTGGTGCAGATTGCTATCAGGCATCTTCATACCATGCCATTTTCAGGTAAAGAGTCATGCCTGAGTCATCCACTCTCCATTAACCTCTGGTTATAACCTGTGCTTACATCTGTAAATATGTGGTGGTCATGTTAAGGTGCCAGGAGCTGGTGGAATTTCTGGAGTGGGATAGTTGATACCCAATGATGCTGCTTCCTAAGACTGGCTGATGAATAAAGCACTGTAGTTGGAGTTCTCCTCACATTTAGGGCTATCTTGAGAGCAGATGAACTATTAGGCAGTTGTTTCTGAAATAACTACCTCAGGGAGGGGAAGATTTGCACCAGTTCTACGGTGAGCCAGAATTAATAGTCTGAATCTCGGACAATAGGGCATAGCAGTGTCTTACACTGCTTTCATATCTTGCCAAAAAAGTAACTCCAAATATTCCCCTCCAAATAGGCCCCAAGGACAGTACAAAGATGGACATATAAGAAAAACAATGGCAGACTGGTGTGCGAAGCCTTGCGTATTTGCAGGGGTTGATATGTATGCATAATGTCCTGTACAAGGTAGATAGGAACTGTTCAGGTAATGAGACGATGTCTCCTCCATCTGGAGAGCTGTGTTTAATTCATTTGTTCATCTAAAAGATTGATAGCAAGCCACTCGACTAAAGATTGATCTCCAAGGCAGCTTATAATACTATTGAAAACAACACGATTCCACAATACAATTCATTAAAATATTTAACAGGCCAAATAAAACAATTGCTACTTTGACGGAAAACCATTATCTTCAAATGCCATTACAAGGCTGAGTAGAAGAAAAGGTTTGGGCTAGAAATCGCAAGGCAACAGCAAAGGGGAAGTGTGCCTGGAGAAGATGTTCACAATCAGATATTTCACCCTGTTCCCTTCAGAGTGTCCACCTCCAGCAGCCGTGAATTCAGTTTAACACCTCAAGATTTGGTGTAGATCTGTTTAGAGATTGCTGCCTCATTTCTGGACTTCCGACAAATGAAGTTCATCTCTTCCGTCAAAGCCTCCATTAATTTTGGGATATTTTGTTTACTTTGTTTTTAAAACATCACTAGCTCCATCTTTCTGTATCTCCTTGGATTTTGGATGGTGGCTCAGCTTCTAGAAGTACAGATGAATGACTAAATGGTGTATTTGGATTTTAATTGCTGTTACTTTGATCGTACGCAGTTCCTTCGGCTTCTCCAGTGAATGTCTCCGCTGAAGCCGTGAGCTCCACGCAGATCCTTCTGAACTGGGCAGCTGTGCCTGAACCCGAGCAAAACGGGCTCATCCTTGGCTACAAGGTACGCGTCCCAGTCCCTGCTCCCGAAGATCTCGCCCCGTTTACCTAAAGATATTTTAACCCCCATCGTTATCTTTGCACGGGTTAGGAGCAGGTCGCGTGGCCCTGGGTATGTCGAAGGAGCTCAAGTGGTTGTGCTTAGTTTCTTATGAAGGGAGTTACTAGCTGGGGAAGGGCTTTGTTTCTTTCCCCAGAGACTTTTATGACTTTTTTTTCCCCTGCAGATTTTGTATAAGGCCAGAGATGGGGAAAGCCAGCAAAGCAGTCAGGTGGTCAGGGGGAACCACACCCTTTCTGTCCTGCTAACTGGCCTGCAGAAGTATGTGGTGTATGAGATTCAGGTGCTGGCATTCACACGCATTGGAGACGGGGTTCCCAGCACTCCACCAATCACTGAGCAAACTAAGGATGATGGTGAGTGTGAGTGTGTGTCAGTGTGTGTTGAGCTGGGACCTTCCAGCTTAAAAAGGTGATCTCCATTCAGTGCATGCCCTTTAAGGAGAACAAGTTAGTAGCATCTCATCTTGATTTCATTTTTATCTTAAAGAGCCAGTTCTTCTCCTAGTATCAACAGGCAATGTCCCTTTAACTTTTAGCTGAGAATCTGCTCCCCAAATCACCACCCTTTTTTTCTAATATTGGACAAAAAGACCATTTCACTCAAAAGCCTTGCATTTTATAGCCAGCTCCAGCCTAAAGCAAATTTTTACAGTCCAATTATGAACTCAATCATACCAATAAAAAAACTGTGGTATAATAGGACGTGATAAACAAACCTTGCTGTGATTGAATGGGAGCAAAGTGTGGATTCATATACCATAAATGTGCCTACAGCCTTTGACAAAAGAATAACAACATGAACCTTCCCCCCAAAATAATAATAATAAGTAAACAACATTTGGTGTTATTTGCAAATACTTTTCCTGAATGTGGGAATTTGTATTTAGAATATGATATATTGAAAGAACTGGAGCTTATTCCAGTTCTTTATTGAAAGGACATATAGGTAGTCCTCATTTAGTGACCACAATTGGGATCAGCAACTCAATTGTTAAGCAAAGCGGTCACTAAGTGAAACTGCAACTGTGCTTACGATTTCCCTTCAGCTTTCCTTTGCTTTACAGACCTGCAAAGGCCATAAATGTGAGGATTAGTCACAAAGTTACTTTTTCATTGTCATTATAACTGTGAATGGTCACTAAACAAGGCAGTCGCTAAAGGAGGACTACCTGTATATTCGTTAGCTGTACAGATATGAACGTGGGCGTAATTCTACAGCTTGTCTCTGTGTTTTTTGTGGAACCAGTTGTCCACCTTTCCTAGCCCTAGAGTCTAAGAAAGGTTAATAGCTAAGTCCTATTTGCTAATGGAACAAGAGCAAAAGTGGAGCTACTGGACAATATGAGCTGCCATATATCAGTACCAACATCATGTAGTCCCAGATTCTGAAGGAATTTGTAGATTCTGCCCTCTTCTGAATTTTGTAATGGAAAGTTCATCTTACAAAAAGCAATTAAAATGCATAGTTAGGATAATAAATACTTCCAGAAATAAATCTATACTATGCTTTTGAGGATCCTCAGTGCTTTGTTCATCTAACCCTTAGAACAATCCTGAATGGTAGGTCAGAGTTATGAAGTATGACTTTGAAAAATGTAGCCCCTAGTGATTTTCTGGCAATGGGGAGACCTGAACCTAACCTTCATCCACCACATGACATTAGCTCTCTCAGTTACTGCTTTTCCCTAAAGAAATTGCTCAGAACAGCTCACAGCTACTGACATTCCATAATATAACTGAAACACAAGCAAAATAAATAATAATAAAGGGAGATTTTTATCCTTCTTCCCTGATTAGGGAGGAGGAAACATGAGCTGATCCCCAAGTTGCATGTAGCCTATGAAATCTTTAGATGTGCTCTTCTAAAAGTTGCCACTGAGAGGTCATTTTTAATGTGACAGAAGAGCAAATATTGGATAGACAGGAAGTAATCATATTAACTATATTGAATTAATTTAATTGAACTCAACAGAAAACTATACTGTTTGTCCCAGCCCTGAGTGGTTCTTCGTCCTGGCCCTGCCTATTTTTTGAAAGGAGGGTCCAATTATATCGTATGAACGCTTGAGTACAGTCCTCAGTCCCTGACCTAAATCCAGGGATGCTGCTCCTTGTCCTGGGAATTTTTGATGGAACCCGATGCTTCACAGGATTATTGGGATAACCTGCTAGGAATAACCCCTTGGATGCTGTTGTGTGAGATACCAGTGGGATGGATAACTAAGAAGGTACACACATTACAGATACCCTTGTTAAGTTACCTAACAAATCAGGATTTGACTACTTTATCTTTCCTCCAGCCTTTGGTGATAAATGGTGCTATTTGTTCTTCCATCCCCAAACTCCTGACATAAGCTTGCTTGATTCCTCCCTGATCAGTTTAATTAAAAACATCCTAGGTAAGAGGAGAGGTGGGATTTTGGCTTAAGGTGCCTCTAGGTTTGCAAATTATCATTAAGTCTCCCTTGTGACCTTGGTGTAGGTAATTTGTCATCTGTGTCACTGTTCACCCACTCCCCCCTTTGATGCTCATGAGGAACTGAGGCACTCACAATGAGTATATGCAATTAGAAGGCAATTCAGTTGGGAAGCTAGCAATGTGCTGGGTGAATATTCATGAAACAAATAATGTAGAAATTAACCTCTCCCTCTCAAGGTAATTCAGTGTCTCCACAGGATGTGATATAGTATATCGACCATAACCTAATTGACACCCAACAGATGCCTTGGACTACAGCTCCCATGGTTTCCATCTGCCCAACCAATGTGCATCCTCACTGGGAGCTGTAGTTCGAAACATCCGGAGGGCATGAGGTTGAGTAAGGCTGTGATAAATGATGCCAGGAGCTTACTGTCTATAGAATCAGATCAAAACAGTAAGGATCCTCAGAGGCTCTTGCCTGTTTATAACTCCTGAGGTCAAACTTAATTTGTCAAAGAACCCACTGCAAATATATTTCTTTGTGGCAGACTCTGGGTGTGCATTAGAACTATAGGCAAGGCTGACTCCTGAAATAACTAACTTTTCATATTGTAGAGAGTTCTTCATTCTCTTCTGGTTCTGTGCCATATATCTCTAGTAGTTCAGATTATTTGTCTCTCTAGCTCAATGACTGGCAATGAAGCTTCACAGTCTAGAGTAGAGATTGGGGGTTCCTTCCAAAGAAGGGAAAGTGCCTCCAGAAAAGTTCTGGGCCCTCCCACTGGATCATTTTCATCTTGGAAGTCCTTGTCTTTTAAGCAGAACGCTAGACATTGAGTCTAGAACCTTCTGCAAGTAGGATGTTTATATCAAGAGCCAGCGGGAAGATCTGGGTATCTTTGAACAATTCATCAGGGAGCCATCATTATGGTGTTGCTTCGGGTTTCTTGCAGTCCCAGGCCCCCCAGTGCGGTTGGTATTTCCTGAAGTGAGGCTGACGTCAGTGCAAATTATGTGGCAGCCACCTGAAGAACCAAATGGAATTATTCTTGGTAAGTGAAAGTGAAAAGCAAATGGTGATGGAGGGAGTTAGAACAGAAAGCATCTTCCCAAGAAGTATTCAGGGCCAAAGAAACCAAAAGGCAGAAGCACATTTTTTCATCTTAGTGATTAGCAGAAAACCGCAGTGGTTCCACTCCAAAAACCATTCCTACCATCTCCAATATTTTACACTTTTTACACAAAATGTTATTTCAGACACAAGATAATTTCTCTGTCACATTCCTTTGGGTTGTTCTGCTTGGCATTTCTCACATCTTGAAAATCAGTTTATCCACAGTGTGTTACAATTCTTCACTGAATGATGGAGTTGGAAAGGGCCAACTGCCTGCCCCGGGTAGGAATCCAAGTTTGCAATCTAACAACTCTTACTTCCAAATATTGAAGTGATGATATGGGAAATCCTTCTATAATTTAAGGATGCCAATAATTGGTATTAAAGCATGACTGAGCATTTTGGCAATGAGCATGCAAATGCAGGAAACTCCAGAAGAGAAAAGTGTTGGGTTAAATTCTTCACCCTTATTTTAGAGAATGTGACTTGGAGGCCCTTAATAGACACTGCATTTTGCATTCCACTTTTCATATGCTCTCTTTATGGTGCACCTAAAATAAATTGGTCCACCTAAGGGGCACATTCTTCACCTCTACTATCATGGCCTCTTTCAAATGTGTCTGGTTCCCCTAGTTATCACCTCACTCTCCTTTCTAAGTCTAACATGCCTGTTAGAATAATTACAGGTCAGAAGAAGCTCCATCACGAATGAAGTTCAGAAATGGATGAGGCAGAGTTTGGAAATGGGTGTTTTTATCTTAAGTTGCATTCGTATACACTTTTAGCCTATGAAATGCTAACTGGAAATCCACAAGCTATGTAGAACAACTTTAATCTGTCTCTGTTGTGTAGAGTTCTGTCTCTTCCTTCTCCTCCTCCTCTCCTGTAGTTCAATTAATGCTTGTCTACTTCCTGAGACTTGGTCATGCTATATCTGGAGAGCTTTGGAAGGTGATGATGAGTATAAAAACAGCATTAGTATTCAGAGCGCGAAGCCTGTTCTTGCTCCTGCTTGTTTGCTTTGAGGGAAGAAATGACTTAGAGTGACCTAACATTTAATAGACACATTAAACTGTTGCCATTTATTTGGCTCAGAAAGCAGTGGTGTGCCAGAGGACCCTGCTTTTGTTCAAAGACGGCTTGTGGTGCACTGTTGATGCTAATTATAAACCATAGATTTTGTAAAAGAACTGCCAGTAATCTAAAGTGGGGTGAGAATCAGGTTCCTATAGGGAAGCCAGGCCCAAACAACTGTGGAAAATCAGTAGGGAAGCGTTGCTTTAAGCAACATATAATAAATTTGCAGAGTGTACGTGGCAATAACCATTTAGGGTTTGTTTAGGAATTATGGAAACTCAAGTCCAACACCTTTGGAGGGCAGCCATTTGGGGAAGGTTTGTGATATGCCCCGTTAACTGCATGGGGATTCAGACGAAGCAGGCAGAAGCTACGTCAGCTGAATGCCAGTTACATCTGGTTGGATCAGTTGCTTGGAAAGAGACCAGAGCTTCTGAAAATGCTACTTGGGAAGCTCACAAAATCAAAAGAGGAAGGTTTCTCTTTGGAAGATGACCATATGAGTCAACAGGACCTGGAAGCCTCTAAATTCCTTTACAAATATTTCTAATCATGTATAATCATTTGTCCTTGGAGGGCAGCTCTATTAGCTTCTTCCTCCACTTAAAAATAATTTGCAATCTCATTGCCTCTCTCCATTCCACTCTGAAAAACCCCCTGTACGGCACTGTTTACCCCTCTTACTATGTTCTTTACTGTGTTTAGCAATGTTTTGAGTCCTGTTTTATTCTGACTTTCTATTCTTCATGTCTTAATGGCCTTTAAAATGCCTTTTGCATTTATTGCTATGTTGCTTCTGTAGCCCCAGGGCATACATTCATTTCTCTTTGAACACTTTCCATTTACCTCTATTGATTTTTCTTGTTTGAGTTCACCAGTAGTTCCCCTGGTCTTGTTGCAGAAGTTTCCCACCCCAGTATTTTTCCAAGGAAATTCTGTTGCCCAAGTGCCTTCTGGGAGTTGATTCATATAACCGCAATTTGGGATGTATTTTGGGGCATCTTCAATGGCAGATTTTCATATTTATGTGACAAACTGTTTTTCTTAGCTCCACCAGGCTCAAATCAGAGTGGCCTGAAATAAGAACTGTATGGAATTGACAAGGGCTGTTTCAATTATTTTACTTGCTTTGAAATTGGCTATTTTTTTCCAACTATATTTCTGGAGCTAAAGGAAATCTTAGAGGGGGACAGTAAATTGTTATATCTGTCATTTTAAAATCTCAAATAACAAAACAACCTCTTTTTTTCTTACATTTCTATTACCTGAAAAAAAATTAGAAAATCTTGCAATTTTTTTTTTCAGAAGGTGACCCAAAGTTTAAAAGGTAATTCCATGGTGTTTCTTTTTTGGAATGTAAAGACAGAAAGATGGTCACAGATTAGGAGTGTAAATCTGGTGTAGTCTAATCTGCTAAATTTCTTTGTGCTTAGTTGCATTTCCTTCTGCATAAATGGCCTGATTGTCAGAAAAAGCGTTTTCAGAAACAACGTCTGGGATGAACATTTTACAAAACCATTCCTCCTTGAATTACAGAGTTGTTTTCACAATTTGGGGAGTCCAGTCTATGTTGTCCTACTAAACCTTAGCCTTGAAGAGTTTGGATTTCAAATCAATCCAATTGGGAAGTGGTTTTGTCTTTTTCCACATGCAATCTCCAGGTCTCTTTGCCTGACACCTTTCTTTCTCTTTCCCTGAGGCACATTTGTGGATTCTGCACAGGAACAGTAGATTGAGAAGGACAATTCATGGCAGACTTTGAGCAAAGCCTTCTTGCTCAGATCTTACCTATCAAGGACTCACAATCTGAATTGCAATGTGCAACCTAGGCAGGTGGTATAGCATTTCAAAAGGGAAAAGCTAAGTATATTACTATTTGGATTTCTCTTTTTCCCCCTCAGTTTACTGTATCAACGTTCATAGTTAATGATCTCTGAAGATTAGACTTGTTTAATGCAAATATCTAACAGCACCACCTGGTTGCTAATACTCCTATTAGTGTTTCGTAGATTCCAGAAGACTTCATTGCTCTTCTGTAGGCTAACCATAGGTATGTTATGCAAATATATAACTTCAAGTTATACAAATAATATTGGTGAGAAAGTATGTAATGTGTTGATCCACTCACAGAGGGATTGTCACGAGTCCCTTGTTCATCAAATGCATTTGCATTTATTTAAGTCTGAGACCTAAACCCGAGGCTAGAGGGTGACATTTTTAATGCCCTTTGGCTCAAGCCTGCATTGCATTATTTGTGACAACTTATATATAACTAAGTGCATCAGCTGAAGCTTAAACACAGATATACTATAATTTTGAGATGCATCTAGTGTTGTGATCCCATGAAATGCATGCCCGAGCTTTTGATTTTTCAGTCATCACCAAGCCTTTTAATTTATTTTATTTTATCATCCATGCATGCCCAAAGATGAGCAATTATCTTGTAAGCCTTCCTGGCTCCAGCCTACAGTTCAGGCACCCTGGTGAAGCTGCATGCTTAGATGCACGATTTATGGAGCCAAACTTGAAAAAAAATACACGGCCCCCAGAAATGCTCCTCTTGATGTGTCTCATTCCAAATGGACCCAAACAAGTGGACTTGCTCTCAACTCTCGCCTGCTGCAATTTCACTGCCAGCGAAACATCGTCCCCTCCTATGACACTTCTGAAGCAGAAAAGTACACAAGATGTGACGCATCAACAAGGGGAACAAAAGCAGCCACCGCTTTCAACTGCACAAATTATGCCATTTCCTCCAGAGTAAGTTGGAGAGACAATGACATATAGGGAAGGGACAGGTTATCTGCGAAAGCATTGCTAGCTCCACGACACACAAATAATACCATCTGTACAGGAATTAAGTTTAGAGTCCCATGTGAATGCAGAGCTCAGGCAGAATGGCCTACACAAAGATCTTTCCAAAACCCTACTTAATTGCCGCTTGCCCTACTTCAAAAGGGCCGGTGCCAGCACTCAGCAAGATCTGGACAGTGTTGATCTAAACTCAAATCCTCTGTTACAAGCATCCTCCTGCTGGTTCCCATCCATTGGTCCCGCTTTCTTCTTTCCATTCTCCCTTTACAGTATATTGTTGCAATGGAGATCTGGAGAATATCCAAACTGGAGCAGGGATATAAAGTTGCTCTGGTGGGTCTGAAGGTCACTTATTTCCAGTCCGTGAAGAACTCCCTGGAGTTCAAAGGCTGGTGGTTGTGCAAGGAGCAGTTTCCCACAATTGAATTCAGCTGCTTCTGTCTTGAGTGGATCTGGTTGCTGTCTTCCCTGCTCTGCACCACCTAACTTGATGGAGCATTTAATAATTCTCTCTACAAGCTGATAGAAATTGATTTTGGAGCTCAGCAGCTGGATGGGGTCCATTGTGAGCTCCAGAAGAAAGCAACCTTGACAGGTTGACTTAAATCTGCACGATCAATTGAACAGTTGGCATGTTGTCTTTGAGAACCGCAGCCTGAGACGTGTTGTTGGTCACATTGCTTCATACAACTAGATTGTAGGTAATGAGTCCAGCCAGATGAAGTGATTTCCTTTGCCCCCACCCCACCCCCAGCTCCAGCTAACTTCCTGTATGCCAGGGAGTGGCAGGGAGACACATGATCCTGCCACCTTTCCAAAGCTAAGCATGTCTTGGTTAAATCAGGGTCTGAATGGAAGACCACCTTGAATTCCAAGACAGATGGAATGTACTAGTCTTGTAAAACATTAATAATATGGTTTTCATTCCTCGCATTGTGGGGCAAGAGCATGCACCACATAAAAACACTTTCCCATCACCAAATTAGCAAACCTTTGCAATATGAACGGATTCTGCCATGAATTGCTCTGGAAATTTTCTCAATCCTCTGTTGCCCTCCCAAAGAATCCACAATAGGACTGCAGGTTTCACTGACTTCTAAAACTGTATCAGGGGCTGAAGGCTCTTTAAAAATCTTCAGCTGTTCCTAAAAAGGCCACATAGCCTTGCATGGTTGCGTGATGATTCCAGGAAGTGCTGGAGAAAAGGAGAGGCTCCTAAGAGCACAGCGCTGCCATTAACACACCAACCTTTTAAAAACTTAGTTAATGAGGCTCTTCACCCTTTTGAATATTTGCAAGCCCTTTCCAGTCCGGCAATTTTCTCTACTTTTTTAAGGAAAATTGTCCTACCAAAGCAACAATGAAATGGATTTTTTTTTTTAGGATCTGTCCATCCTTATCAAAATTTTCCTACATGATTTGACGATTAGTTTCTGAAAGCTTTTTTTCCCCCAAAGAACCAAGGAATGTAAAAAAAAAAGAAAAGGAAAAGAGCAGGAGCATGACAAACATTTGGATTAGATTTATTATGTTTATATTGCTTTTCTTTCCTTGGGACATAAGAAGCAGCATATAGAATTAAAAGAACAATAAAACAATTAAAAGCCAGACAATGCACAATAATTAGAAAGGAAAGCAACTGGAATAGCAGCAAATTTAAAAACAAAAGCATAAAATCCAAATAGCTGATGCAAAAGCCAGGCACAACATGATGGCAGAGCTCACATCAGTCAAACTGAAAATATCCCCCTGCTCAGAATGTGTGGGTATGCATACACAGAAGTTTTCAATAAATTTCTGAATGCTGAAAAGGAAGGAACTGTGAGATGCAGATTATAATTAGTATAATTAGTAGGCAAGCTTGCAGGAAAGGAGTAGACAGGTTACAGAGATGCTGTGTAATAAAACAACATGGCCTTTGCAAATACCTCTTTCTATTAGGTGTCTGGCCACCAGAAGGCAAAAACATTTTTTATATTTTTATGACAGTTTTTGGAATTATTGAGAACACTATCTGTTGGAAGCCCTATGTTCGTTTCCTAATGGAAAGGGGATATTGTTTAGGGACTTCTCATACTAAATCACCACCCATAGTTGATTGATTGAGGTGGTACAAACTTTTTTTTTTAAATAAACAAACAAGCTAGCTAGCTTCTGGACCATCTCATGACCCAAAGCTCATGCCACCTAAAACATCTTCCAAATGTCTAGACTTCATGAGACCCTTTATTCATTCCAGACTCACTCCTGTAGAAGTCACATCTTCATCCACTTTATGTGGGTATGAGAAATGATGGGATAGTACAAGGTGAGCAAGAGTCATGCAGGTGGCAAAATCTATTCCCTTGGGGCAATAGTTGTGCGACCATTGACTGGCACCCCTGCTTTATTTTTCCTAATGGTCACCTTCCTTCAAGAAAAGTTCTTTATCTGGCCATCAGGGCAAGGATGTTCAAAATCAACAGAGGTGATAGATCCCAATCCATTGGGACCCGTGCCTTCTTGAATCTCAGGACCCCGTTGAGACCTACAGACTGGAAGCCTGAGATTCAACAAGGCACAATGGAGGACTCAGCAAATTTGGGTGAAGAAACAGGAAATCTGGAGTGGATACATTTCCAGCCAGCCATGTTTTGTCAAAATCATCCACATACACTTTTCTGTGGCGTTTGCCATGTTTTCAGAGCACATCGATATGCTCCAGGAAGATGAAACAGTTCTAGCATCTCATTCTAAAGAATGAAATGTGAAACACATTTCATGGTGGATTATTACTCAGAAGTCCTTTTCCAGTAATTTCCCAGATACTGTACTGAATCAGACTTGCATGAGGGGGAAAGGCATTACAAACTCAGCTGATCCATCCTAAAAAGAAGCCACTTAAATTCTTTTCCTTTAAAATAAATAAGGAATTAGGATGTGCTAATGGTCTTGGCATTTTCCCTTCATGAAAAGACCAGCTGAACTAACCCAACTGCTGTGATCTTCTTGTTATTTGGATGGATGGATGGATGGATGGATGGATGGATGGATGGATGGATGAATTCATCCTGTGTCGCTCTGAATTCAGGATACCAGATTGCTTACCGTCTGGCAACCAGCAGCCCCAACAGGTTCACCACGGTGGAAGTTGGCTCAACAGTTCAACAGTTTGTGGCTACAGATCTCTCCCCTGAATCAGCATACATTTTCCGAGCCTCCGCCAAGACCCGTCAGGGCTGGGGTGAGCCCTTGGAAGCAACTGTGATCACTACAGAAAAGAGGGGTAAGGACTGCAGTTAAGAATAAAACCTCCTTTCACCCAAGTGCCCAAGATGGTTGGCTTCCTGGTCTTTGGCTTCTTGTGTTGGCACAAGAGCTTGATCTTTATAGTAGTCCATCCTTCACCAGTGCCCCGTCCTTTAAAACAGATGAAGATATCATGTGCTATTCCTTTAGAAAGAAAATGAACAAAGGCAAACTGTTTCATTGCTTGTGCTTTTATCTTTGGGTTATTGTGTCCCAATTAAATGTCCCTGAGGAACAATGGGTCTTTGTGGAATGAGGGTCCCCAGGAAATAGGGACAAATGGGAAAATGAAGGCCTATTCAATATTATAGAGCAGGGTTCCTCAACCTTGGCGACTTGAAGATGTGTGGACTACAACTCCCAGAATTCCCCAGCCATCATGGCTGGCTGGGGAATTCTGGGAGTTGT